TCGCCCTTCGACGACATGAGCAACTCAATCCATTCCATTGGGCTGTCAAACCCTGCGCCGCCCTCTGCCTCTGGTACCGTAAGCTTCTCGAGAAATTCCTGGGCTCTGGCACGCTTCTTTGCAAGATCTGCGGCAGCGCTTGCTTTCGCCTCCTTGCGGCGAGACTCTTCTTCTTCGGCAGCTTTGACGGCTGCCTCTTCAGCCTCCTTGCGCCGGGATTCAGCTGCCACTGCTGCCTTTTCCTTCCGTCTCTCTGCCGCCTTCGCCTTCGTACTGGCTCGTGCGGATGATTTCAGATCCTCGATTTTCTCACTCGGCATGCTGCTATAGAACACGCGCGAGTGTCTGACGGGCTTCACAGTGCGACGGCGGCCACCTTGACGCTTTATTGGGCTTGGTTCAAAGATTGTGGAGGTCGCTGGAGATGGTATGGGGATGGGAGATTCGGAAACTGCCCGCTGTCGGCTTCTACGGGGAGTACTATAGGCAATGCTGGTCGGCGGCTCTCCAGAAGGTGCTAGCTTGGACATGAGGTCAGGGAGTGGTCCCAACACATCGTTTTGCATCTCCTCCTCGTCTTCACTGTCTGCAAGGCTCCGAGCACGCGGGAGATTCGGAGAGCTGGGTGCACTGCTTGTCTGAAAAAACATCTCCTCCTCGGCTTGACGACTGCGTTTAGGACGAGATGGGCCCGGGGCCCTGTAATCCTCATCGGAGTCCAGTGCATTCTTTCGTTTGGGAGGCATGTAGGCGGCGGGATGAAAAAGATTGATAGGAGGTCCTGAATGGGACAGTGATTTTTATTTTCGCTTTAGACCCCTCACTTCCTATCTTTTCACACTGAAAACCAATAGGATATCGATTTGAATACATGTTAAACAAAACTGTCTACTCAGAATTTTCATACGGGGGGTTTGAATTTTCAATGTAGCGAAATTTTTCTAAGTCAAAACAACTGACCTCGGTTAACCGCGGTAACTCCCGACCGTACTAGCAACCGGTTAGATTGCTCCAGTCGCTTTTCGTGTGGCCTATTGATCGACTGTCATCAATCTTTCCGCCCGCCGAAAAGCGACTGGATTCGAGTCTATACCAGGGGCGGAATCACGGAGGGCGCAACATATTCTGGAGGACCGTCGCTTTCAGCTTGCTCGGGCTCTGCGACTCGTTCGTTAGCCATCGCACCGAGGAAAATATCCTCGATCGTCGTCCCGAGGACATCGTAAGACACGATCCCGTACGTCCGTGCCTCTGCGTCAAGAAGCCTAAGCACTCGGCTTACAGTGCCACTATCGCTTGTTCCGAGATGGAACAGTGGGCGCCCTGTCGGGTCCAGCGACGTACGGGCATGCGGAGCAATGGACTGGACTTGGCGGAGGAGGTCGGGAAGTGCCGCCGCTCCTGGTGAAGCGGCAGGCGCCTCGAGAGATACTTGAACGGTGTATCCGGCTCCGTGTCCCCGTTTCATCGCTACCGGTGTGTCCGAAGCAACGAGTTTGCCCGGCGCAGCGAGAATTGCAATGTGGTCTGCCAGGAGATCGGCCTCGTCCAGTAAATGCGTGGTCAGGATCTGGTTAATAGGTGAGCGCTCTACGTCAACGGGTCAAATTTGAACACTCACAATGGTGCGTTTCTGGCGGAATGAGACCAGTGTTCGCCATAGCGCACGCCGGGAGAGAGGATCCACACCCGCAGTGCACTGCAAGAAGCCGATGAGCTAGAGCTGGCGATAGTAAATTTCACTGTTGCTGACCTCGTCAACCAGGAGAACTGAAATCGAACCACATCAGTTCGAAACCCAACCAACGAAAACAAAGGGAAGAAACATACACGTCGAACCACCAGTGAGTCCAATAGCCAGCTGAAGCTTACGTTTCTGTCCGCCGGACAGCGTACCTGCCCTGGCGTGCATTTTATTGTGCAGATCGCAATCGCGAAGTAGTTGTTCCAGATTCTCATCCGACGCCGCGTTGGTTGACCACTTGACCGCCCTCCAGACCTGCAGAGTCTGCAGGCAAGTCAGTTCCGGGATCAACACGTTTTTCTGTCGAGGTTATTAGTGCCGAAGCCCCCAAGAGCGACATGTGAGTCCCGCACCTGTGGGATCCGTATAAAGATTTAGTTCATTCCTTTGTGAGGAGGAGGAGCATAAGTATATTCCCAAGAACCTATTTGAGCGAGTCAAGCATCTATTTGTGTTGTGTTACTTCGTTTGTGGGGAGTTAGGCTACACAACATAATTTAGGCTGTTGAAGACATGGTTCGAGAACGCCTGGTGGTGTATTGCAACACATCATCTGACTATATTGAAGGTGTATGTTTCCAGTCTGATGAAGCTCCCCGTTCGATCCGGGGCCAGACCATTCTGCATTTGGGTGAGTTTTTTTTCTTCTTGCATCACCCATGAGTTGTACTCATTGTTTTCTTTAGGTAGGAGACTTTTCAGAGGTTCAGGTCAGATGGCGGCACCGCTGCACCGGATCAGCGAGCAGATTGCTCTAAGTATGTTGCCATAGATCAGACCCGGAAATGAAATCCCCCGAGTCAGGAACATAAAGTAACAGTGAGAGCCGGAATGGTGGCCGGAATGCACTGGCAGGCCTAATTCAGCGTAAAGAGGAATCTCCGGAGTTGGCGGAGTTCCGAGTGGGGAATTTAACGAGGAGGTTTGTGGTCCGGTTGAATTGAAAGTGCGTTGGTGGTGGTCGGACTCCGGAGTCAAGGGGTTGCAAGTATGAGCAGTTGTATATAATTCAACCTTTCCATGCTCACAGCAAGGATATATCGACATCTAAGCCAGTTTGTTGGAGAGGTGAGAAAGGCCTGATGGTGTACAGCAACACATCCTCTAGAATTTCATTAACTGGGTTCTGATTCCGAGGAAGCCCCCCGTTCGATCCGGGGTCAGGCCATACATGGATGTGATCTTCTCAACAAGTTTTATTTTTGATCATTTCTTTTACTTCATCATAGATACGGTAGTGCTTATTGGAAAGAAAACTCAAAGGTCTGGGAGCCCAAGGACCATGGCATGGCTTGATTTGATCATAATTTTTTATACCCTCTAAGCCAGTTTGTCGGAGAGGTTGGGAAGGCCCGGTGGTGTATCTGCAACATATCCTCTTAAATTAAGGAAGTAGAATTTGTATCTGAGGGAGTACCCCGTTCGACCCGGGGCCAGGCCATATCAAGCCAGTATTTGCTCAATTTTTAATTTATTTTTGAGTATATGTACCCACTCACTTTTTTTTGTAGGAGACTAGTGTTCATTTTGTGAATGAAGGAAGGAAGGACCGGATGGTTGAGCATCCATGAACGGCGGCGGCATTGAATCTGGACCAACGGGATTTGCCTTGGCCATCATATCATGGTTCGGGGCTTGCCGAGACGATTTATCGTTACTGGAGATAAATTGGATTTGGAAACCGGTACTTGACAAGGGATGACCTGGGCACACTTTCAAGCAAGAAATGCACTTATCAACGCGGGAAAAAAATAAACACAATCTGTTCGAGCAACGTTCGACGGGCGTCATAGCCGGCATTCCACGGTCCCATCGACAACTTTCAACACGAATCGCGACGTGCAATCCAACACCCAGGATTAGTAGTGCACCTACCTATTGCAGAGTTGGCAGTTTCTGGCACGGCCTGGTGATGTACTGCAACACATCCTCAAGGGTTCGCACAGTCTGAACAGTTCTCGAAGAAGCACCCCATTCGACCCGGGGCCAGGCCACTGAATCTGAAATGTCCACATAAATTTTTCCCCCATCTCTCTTCAATCATCATTCGGAAATGATAATTCAACCTACCTATAACAAAGTTGTCAGTTCCTGGCAAGGCCTGGTGGTGTACTGCAACACATCCTCCAGAGTTACTAGTAATTCAAAGCAACTTTCGAGGAAATCCCCCGTTCGAACCGGGGCCAGGTCAATGAGTGACTCCATAGTGTATCTTTTTCCTTCTGTATAGAGACCTCTGAATTTTTCGTCAGTGAATTTTTTCAAGACAAACGGGACACCCTTTTCTTCTTCTTCAACACGGTTAAATACGAACGCCGCGCGAAATGGAGGCATTCTCGAGTCAAAATGAATTTTAAGTTGCAGTTGAGCCACTGGCACTGGAATTCCGGGTCCTCCGTTCTATTAAAGATTTATTTCATTCCTTTGTGAGGAGGAGGAGCATAAGTATATTCCCAAGAACCTGTTTGAGCGAGTCAAGCATCTATTTTGTTTCGTGTGCTTGTTGAAAACCGGCAGTTTGTGGGGAGCTAGGCTACTGTACTATTTCGACCGGATGTTCAGGTGACAGGTGACAGAGGGTCGTGAAATGAACAAATCTGGGATAGGTGACGGTGACAAACTGAATTTCCCGCCCGAATAGGCCTCAAAAACGACAAAATTATTGATCCGGCCATTGCTGAACGTCCATTTATGGGAATTTGGCATGATTGCCGAGAAATGAACACCTAGAAAAATGAACATCTTCAGTGACAGGTGACATGGTGTGATCATTTCGTCGAAATAGTACAGTACTATGCATCATGACTTAGGCTGTTGAAGACATGGTTCGAGAACGCCTGGTGGTGTATTGCAACACATCATCTGACTATATTGAAGGTGTATGTTTCCAGTCTGATGAAGCTCCCCGTTCGATCCGGGGCCAGGCCATTCTGCATTTGGGTGAGTTTTTTTTCTTCTTGCATCACCCATGAGTTGTACTCATTGTTTTCTTTAGGTAGGAGACTTTTCAGAGGTTCAGGTCAGATGGCGGCACCGCTGCACCGGATCAGCGAGCAGATTGCTCTAAGTATGTTGCCATAGATCAGACCCGGAAATGAAATCCCCCGAGTCAGGAACATAAAGTAACAGTGAGAGCCGGAATGGTGGCCGGAATGCACTGGCAGGCCTAATTCAGCGTAAAGAGGAATCTCCGGAGTTGGCGGAGTTCCGAGTGGGACTCGGAAGTGAGACGGCTTGGGGTCCGGCTAAACTGAAAGTGTGCTGGTGGTCAGAGTCAAGGGGGCAGCAGTTGTATATAATTTAACCTTTCCATGCTCACAGCAAGGATACATCGACATCTAAGCCAGTCTGTTGGAGAGGTGAGAAAGGCATGATGGTGTACTGCAACACATCCTCTTAGATTAAGAGGTTCGGAGTTGTTTCTGAGGAAGTACCCTGTTCGAACCGGGGCCAGGCCATACATGGGTAGGCCACTCAACAATTTTTTTTGTTTCTTTCTTATACTTCATCACAGATATGGTAGTACTTATTGGAAAGGTAACGCAAGGGCCTGGAAGCCCAACCCAATCATGGTATGACTCAATCATTTTTTTTTTCATGCTCACAGCAAGGACTCGGGTGTCTCTCTAAACCAGGTTGTAGGAGATGGTGAGAGGTCTGGTGGTGTACTGCAACACATCTTCCAGAGTTATGCACAGTCTGCAACAGTTTTCGAGGAAGTCCCCCATTCGAACTGGGGCCAGGCCACTCCATTCGTATTGTGTCGGAATTTTTTTCCCCCTCTCTCTTCAATCATCGTTCGGAAATGTACAACTCCAATCGTTCAAGTCGAACTTGTAGATTGAAGATCGAAGATTGATATTATATTGAGTGCATGCCCGGGTTTCGTGGACTCCGAGCATGATTCAACCAGAGGGTACTTATGGTAGAGTCCTCAATTTCCAGCAGGACCCGGTGGTGTACTGCAACACATCCTCCAGAGTTACTAGTAATTCAAAGCAACTTTCGAGGAAGTCCCCCGTTCGAACCGGGGCCTGGCCACTTGATGTGCATTGAGAATTTTTTTCCATATCATCTCTTCAATCATCATTCGGGGCACCTACCCACTACGGCTTGGTGGTGTAGATGTAACATTTCCTCCATATTTGCAAGGCAGCATCAGCAATATGAATCCGAGGAGGTTCCCCGTTCGAACCGGGGCCAGGCCACTTTGCTTGTATTGTGTCGGAATTTTTTCCCCCATCTCTTCAATCATTGTCCGGAAATATACAACTGGTCCAATATTTTTAGATTACGTTGAAGATTGATTTGTGACTCGGATTTGATATCAGATTGAGTGCACGCATACCCGGGTTCACGGACTCCAAGCATAATTCAGCCTACCTATAGCAGAGTTGCCAATTTCTGGCATGGCTTGATAGTGTACTGCAACACATCCTCTTTGTATTTCAGTTTCCGTGGTTGTTTCTGAGGAATTCCCCTGTTCGACCCGGGGCCAGGCCATGTTGATGCAATTTTGACTTTTATTCTATTTTATTTTCGAGTATATGTGTACTCCCTTTCTTTTAGGAGACCTGTGTTCATTTTGTGAATGAAGGAAGGAAGGAGCGAATGGTTGAGCATCCATGAATGGCGGCGTTGAACACCAACGGAATCTGAATCCGCCATCATGGTTCGGGAGGTGCCGGGTTTTGCCGACACCATTTATCGTTACTGGACATAAACTGGATTTGAAAGCCGGGGATAAAGGCCTTTAATCTGCCTGGGCACACTCCCCAAGAAATGTGCTTATCAGCGGGGAAAAAAAAAAAAAAAAAAAAAAAAAAAACCTGTCCGACCAACGTTCAATGAGCCGTCATTCCACGGGCATCTCGACGGCTGGAATCGCGACGTGCACAGCAAACAGGCCTGATAATCCAAAACCCAGGATTAGTAGTGCACCTACCTATAGCAGAGTTGTCAGTTTTCCAACAAGGCCTGGTGGTGTACTGCAACACATCCTCTAGAGGTGCGGCACTCAGCATCCCAAACAGTTTCCGAGGAAGTCCCCCGTTCGACCCGGGGCCAGGCTGTGTATATCAGATGTTGTTCAATTTTTGTTTTATTTTTGAGTACATGGATATGTGTACTCACTTTTTTTAGGAGACTCATGTTCATTTTGTGAATGAATGAAGGAAGGACTGAATGGTTGAGCATCCATGAACGGCGGCAGCATCCGATATTGGGATTCAACTCGGGCATCACATCATGGCTCGGCAGGTGCCGGGTTTGTCGAGTGGACATATATCGTTACTGGACGTCAATTGCATTGGGAACTGCATTGCACACTACAGATATACGAGGTGTCGGCATTGAAGATTCAGGAGTAAAAATCAGATTAGTCCGGAAATGAAATCGTCCGAGGCAGGAATTGGTGAGAGCCGGAGTGGCATTGGCAGGAATGCACATTGCAGGTGTAATGCAGCGTAAAGAGGAATCTCCGGAGTTCCGAGCAGTGAGAAGCGGGGTGTAATCAACCTTGGTGGTCAGAGTCAAGGGGGCAGCAGTTGTATGATCCAGCATTTTTTTGTTTCATGCTCACTGCGAGGGCTAGGTAAACCAGTTTGTAGGGGAGGGTGAGAAGGCCTGGTGGTGTACTGCAACACATCCTCTAGAGGTGCGGCACTCAGCATTCCAAACAGTTTCGAGGAAGTCCCCCGTTCGACCCGGGGCCAGGCCATCTCCTGTGAGGTTAGTTTTTTATTTTATTTTATTTTCGAGTATATGCGTACTCCTTTTTTTTTTGGGAGACTCGTGTTCATTTTGTGAATGAATGAAGGAAGGACCGAATGCTTGGCGGCGCCGTTGAACACCAACGGGATCTAAATCCGCCATCATGGTTCCAGAGGTGTCGGGTTTTGCCGAGACGATGTATCGTTATTCAACCAGGCTATACCTATAGCAGAGTTGTCAGTCCCCCAGCTGGGCCTGGTGGTGTACTGCAACACACCCTCTAGAGTTAGCAGATACCAGCTGTCCCTAAATCTGAGGAAGTCCCCCGTTCGAACTGGGGCCAGGCCATATCAAGCCAGAATTGCTCAATTTCTATTTTATTTTTATTTTTGACTCGCTTTTATTTAAAGGAAAGTAGTGTTAATTTATTGACCAACGCTTGACCATCCATGAACGGCGGCGGCGGTGAACACCGATGGGATTCAACTCTGGCATCAAATCATGGTTCGGGGGGTGCCGAGATTGCCGAAACCATTTATCGTTACTGGACGTCAATTGCATTGGGAACTGCATTGCACACTACAAATTAAATGAGTAGTATATGAGATGTCGGCAAGAATGATCAGACTCGGAACCAGAAATGAAATCGTCCGAGGCCAGTTGGAATGATGGCAAGCATGTAGGCGTAATTCAGCGTAAGGAGGAATCTCTGGAGTTGGCAGAGTTCTGGGTGGGAATTTAACGAGGAGGTTTGTGGTCCAGTTGAATTGAAAGTGCGTTGGTGGTGGTCGGACTCCGGAGTCAAGGGGGTGCAAGTATGAGCAGTTGTATATAATTCAACCTTTCCATGCTCACAGCAAGGATATATCGACATCTAAGCCAGTCTGTTGGAGAGGTGAGAAAGGCCTGATGGTGTACTGCAACACATCCTCTAGAATTTCATAAATTGTGTTTAGATTCCGAGGAAGCCCTCCGTTCGATCCGGGGTCAGGCCATACATGGATGTGATCTTCTCAACAAGTTTTATTTTTGATCATTTCTTTTACTTGATCTTAGATATACTTGTTGGAAAATTCAAAGGCCTGGGAGTCCAAGTACCCGTGCCCAATCATGATCATTTTTGTTTCCCATGGTCACACCAAGAACTTGGACTTGTGTGTCCAGGCAAACCAGTTCATTGGAGAGGTCAGAAAGGCCTGGTGGTGTACAGCAACACATCCTCTAGAGTTGCCAGTTGAAGCCATCGTTGAACTGGAGGAAGTTCCCCGTTTGAACCGGGGTCAGGCCAATACTGACGGAGTGCATAAAGTATTTTTGCCTCATCGAGGCCATCGTATTGTTCATCCGTTGATTTTTTAAATAGGGTTCGGTCAACTCTTCTTTGGTTTTCTTCAACGGTTGAATACTCGATTTCCGACATGTGCGCATCGCGCCATCGCGGGCCCCCGGGCCGTGTGGTAGGGCGCCGCGTGTTTATTGCGGGAATTACGCCACGGGTGCCTTATTGGGGGGTTGTGTTTACCTCGGTTGGCGACGACGGTGGGCTTGCTTACTCTAGTCTAGATCCATCCACTGCCAGCCATGCCTACACCACCCCTCTGAGTAAACGTCTTTCAAACCAACTCGTACTTGGACCGAACAAGTCAAGAAACGACGACGACAACTCGCCAGATGCCCCGAGCACCGAGTGTGCCGCTGCCCCCGCCCGAATCCGCCAACTACGAGAAGCAGCCGGGCTACACACGCCAGGACCTCCTCGCCCAGGTCGCCGAAGCCGAAGCCCAATCCAAACCCGCCTCCGCTCCCAACGGCACGCACAGCTACAACGACACCCCCACCCAGACGCTGAGCGCCACCCCCACCGTCAAGCGCGCCGCGTCCACCTCCGCCCATGCCCCTACTCCGCACCCCAACGGCAACAACTTGAATGCCACCCCGCACCCCAACGGCACCGGCGCCGGCGTCCCGCACTCCGCCCCGCCCTCGCGCGTGCCCTCGCAGTCCGCGCCGAGCACCCCCGCCATCCCCGCCGCGCGCGCGCCCTCCCGCGCCGCCTCCGTCGCCTCCGAGGCGTCCTCGCACCACTCCCAGGCGCCGTCCCAGGGGCACAAGTTCACGCTCAAAGACCTCCTCGCGAGCGGGCCGAAGCTCTCGCGGCGGAGCAGCGCGCGCAGCGCGAGCTCGCGGCATAGTGCGGATAGCGAGAGCGAGGGGGGTAAGGGTGCGTTTCTTTCTCTATTCCTCATTCCCCCCTCAATCCTCTCTATTCCCGAACGCAACTTGATTCTAATCTAACATCGGATGCATTTCCAGCCCGCTCCGGCAAAGGCTCCGCCGCAGGCGACTCCACCGCCTCCCTCACGAAAAAGTACGGCGTCTGCCAAAAGGTCGCCATCGGCAAGGGCGCCACCTCCGTCGTCCGCCTCGCGCACAAGTGGGACCGCAGTGCGGGCGATAAGATGTATGCTGTCAAGGTGCCTCTCTTCCTCTTCTTGTTATCCTCTTCTTCCTCCTGTTATCCTCTTCCTTTTTTTCCCCTCTCTCCTACCATTGGATGCAGATAAAGCTAACACCCCCTCCCAAGGAATTCCGCAAACGCCGCCGCACCGAGACGGAGAAGGAGTACGTCAAGAAGCTCACCGCAGAGTTTTGCATCAGGTGCCCTCCCTTCTTCCCTCCCTCTCTTCCCTTCCCCCCCCCCCCTTCCGTCTCCCTCGCCTTCTTTTTCGAGTGAATCTACCTGCGGAGCACTCACTCACGTTCGTTCGCCCACCCAGCTCGACCCTCCACCACATCAACATCGTCGAGACCGTCGACCTCGTGCAGGACGAGCAGGGGAGGTGGTGTGAGGTTATGGAGGTGCGTTTTTTCGCGGTTTTTTTTTCGTTGCGCGTCGGGTATTTTTTTGGGTGGCGCGTTCGGGGGTCGTTTCGCGGTTTCCTATTCTATTCCCTTCCTTGCCTTTTTTTTTTTTTTGGGGGGGGGGGGCGCTGTTGGAGCCGCGTCCGGCGTCGGACGTTGGAGCGCCACGCTGGGTGCGTCCGGCGTCGGGCATCGGGCGCACCGCCCTCGTCCTCGTCCTCGTCCTCCTCATCCCCGCCTTGCCGTTCCCCGCTTGCCGGACCGCATGGCCCCAGACTGGCCGCAGACAGACGACGCCTAGCATGGATGGATGGACAGATGGGCCCCCCGCGCGCACCCTGTTCTGTTTTCCGTCGAGGCTCCGTCTTGCCCCCGACGCCCCATTCGCATCCGCATCCGCATCCGCACCCACTCCGGCGCACGGCGAATCCTCCCCCTTTCCTCCGGCTCCGGCGAATCTGCGTCTCCATCTGCGTCTGCGTCTACGTCATCGCATCGCAGCTTTCGTGGCTCTGTTCTGCCTCCTGCGCCCATCCGTATCCGTATCCGCACCCACTCCAGCGAATCCCTCCTCCCTCTTCCCGGTTCCCGCTCCGGCTCCGGCGAATATGCGTCTGCGTCTGCGTCTTCATCTGCGTCATCGCATCGCAGCTTTCGTGGCTCTGTTCTGCCTCTACGCCCATCCGCATCCGCATCCGCTCCCCACCGCATCCGTATCCGCGCACGGCACACGGCGAATGCCTCCCCCCGGAATCCTCCCTCTGGTGACTGCGTCTGCGTCATCGTATCATCCCTCCGCTGGATGTGCGTCACGTCGACTCCGACCTTACCCCTTGCCCCCCTTGCCCCCTTTGCCCCCATCCGCATCCGTGCACGGCGAATCCTCCCTCCCCCCTCCGGTGGACGTGCGTCATCCGGGGATGCGTTGGGATGCGTGAGATCCGCCGCGCCGCGCCACCACCACCACCACGCCACATGCGTCACCTCATCACAGCGGCCGGCGCGGACGGCGCGGAAGCAAAACAAACAGAAGATGGAGCGCAAGGGGAAGAGGAAGGAGAAGGAGAAGCAACAAAAAAAAAAAGATCAAAGAGAAGAGGGGACGACCGTGCGTGCGGGGTTTTCGCGTGCGGGCGGGGTGGGTGGGTGTGGGGTCGTCGGAGTCGGAGATGGGGATGGGTGGTGGCGGATACGGAAGAAGGACGGAAGATCGAGTTGGTGTCGTCGTTGTCGTCGCCGTTGGAGGAAGAGGGGAGGAGGCGGTCCGAGTCAAGAGTAGGAGTCGGGCGGCGGCCGATAACGAGTCTGACCGCGGATTCTGGGTGTGCGGTGGGCGCTGCGTCGGTGTGATGCATGCATCAATGGACCCGGCGTGTCGTGTCGGGCTTTGGGCGGGCCCGCCCAGCTCTCTCTCCTATTCTTCCTTTATTCTTCCTCTATTTCTTCCTTCCTATCTTTCCCTCCCATCGTTCCACCCATGCGACGTGACGCTAACCCTCTTCCTCCCCACAGTTCTGCCCCGGCGGGGACCTGTACGCCGCGATCAAGAAGGGGGGGATGTCGCCGAGCGAGGTGCGTTGGGTTCTCTCTTTTTGGCTTTCAGTTTTTTTTTGGGGTGGGATGGGGTGGGGGGGACCAGCGCGCGTACGGCGCTGCCGACGCCCATGCCGGCGAATTCCTCTCCCCCTTGTTACCTTACCTTACCCCGCTTGCAACTACCCGCTTGCGCTTGCAGCTTGCAACTTCGCCACGTCCCCCACCTTTCCCTCCCTTCTCCACCTTCCATCCTCACCCCCTGGCCCACCCTCTCCTCTCCACCTTCCCCCACTTCCCCGCCTTCCTCTCCATCCATCCTTCCCATTTTCCCCACCTCCCACCTCCCACTGTTCCCACCTCCGCCTTCCCCCTCCCTCCGCCCTATTCCCGCCCCTCTTCCTCTTCCCTCTTCTTTTCTCCCTCTCCCCATCCTCCCCATCCTTCCCCCTCCCTCCCTCCTCTTTAACCCTCACCCTCACTCACCCCCCCCCTCTCCCGCAGGTCGAATGCTGCTTCAAGCAGATCCTCTCCGGCGTGGGCTACCTCCACAGCCAGGGCGTCGCGCACCGCGACATCAAGCCGGAGAACCTGTTCTTCGATACGGGCGGG